CGGGGTTCGGCTTCCTCTTCCTGTGGCTCAACGCGAAGCTCAAGGTCTGGGCCGACCACAAGCCAGCCTTTTGGAAGCTCGCCCTCAACTTTGTGCCCCTGCTCGGCGCTGTGCTCATCTGCGGCTCGCTGACCATCGACGCGGCGCACAACTGGTACGACATTGTCGCGGGCGCCGCCATCGGCATCGTCATGGCCTTTGCCGCGTACCGCACCTCGTACGCCGCCGTGTGGGACTGGCGCTTCAACCACCTCCCGCTGCAACAGAGGGACACCTTCCGGTACGGCTTCGATGGGGATGTCAACTATGCGGGCCAGACTTTGTCTGGTAGTGTTGGATGGGGGGCGAAGCGAGACTGGCCTCACGGTGGTCTTGACAGTGCGGCTAGTAGCACCATGTTTGCGCGCAGGACCAGTGGTATCCAAGATGTCGCAGCTGGAGACGCTGAAGCTTCGGGGCAGACGCGGACAAAACGACGGGCACCCCTAGGAGACGAGGCAGTTTAATGGCCAAGATGCCAGAGGCCTTGCCGTTGGTTTCAGCAGGACTGACACTGCCTCTTGATTTATTTAATATAATTACCGCCTTACAAAGTATGGACCTTTTTTCCCTTGACGTAAACTTCTGTCATGTTTCGATCGTCTGCCGTCATCAAGAACTTGTCAAATATCCTCCTCAGCTCATCCTGATCCTCGATGGGCGCATTTATTCCACCGCGAGCCGTGTTCATATCGATGACGACGGCATCAAACTCCTTGCCAACCTGAAAGTCTCCAATCCTGTCCTCTATGCCCATGACCCTCGCGCCACCCATGGTCGCGAGGTAAAACACCTCCTCCAGCGTCAGGCCCTTCTCGCGGCCGGCCGACGCCGCCTCGCGCGAGAAGGAGGCGATGAGGGCATGCCGCATGGCGTCGAGGATGGACGACGAGAAGCCGCCGCCCGAGTCGGTCCCGAGGCCGACCTTGATGCCCCGGTCGAGGAACTGCCGCACGGGGGCTGCCATGAAGCCGCCGCCGACGGTCATGTTAGACGTCGGGCAGTGCGCGACGCCACACTCGAGGTCCGCGAGGCTCTGCGTCTCGGCCTCAGTCATGATGGTGCAGTGCGCGAGGATCGTCCGCGGCGTGAGCAGTTTGTAGTGAGAGTAGAGATCAACTTCATTGGCGAAGTTGGGGAACAGGGACAGCGTGGCTTTGACTTCTTGCTCGGCCTCGTTGAAGTGCGTCTGGATCGGGAGGCTCGGGTCGCGCGAGGCGATGGCGCCCAGGCCGGCGAGCAGATCTGACTCGCAGGAGATGGCAAAGCGAGGGGTGATGACGTACTTCAAGAGCTTGCTGGAGGGATCGATGGTGTTGATGTGGGCGATGCACCGCTCGGTCTCGGCGAGCGACTCCTCGACACTGGCGTCGCGATAGTAGTCGGGCGAGCCGCGGTTCATGTTGCACTTGCCGACAAACGCCCTCTGTCCCATGTTGAGGCACGTATCGGCCAACACACAAGTGGCATCGCCGTGCAGCGAGCCATAGTAGCTAGCCGTCGTGACGCCCTGGCGCAGCATCCCCGCGACCATGGCCCTGTAGACGCGCCCGGCGTACTCGGCGTCTGCGAAACGCGCCTCGTTGGGGAACGTCACGCCCGCGAGCCAGTCGAGGATATGCATGCCCTGCCCGAGCCCGCGCTGCATCCACTGCGGCGCGTGGTTGTGCGTGTCGACGAAGCCTGGCACGAGGAACTGACCCGGGAGGAGGTGGGTGACCCGGCTGGGGGGGATGTCCAGGGCTTTGAGCTTCTGCTCGACTTCATTTTTCGGGACGTTGGCTTCCAGCGCGATGATCTGGCCGGTAGAGGGCGTCACGGCCACGATGGCTTGCTCGAGGATGGCGATGTCGTTGATGCTGGATGAGTGGATCACGGTGCCGTAGAAGGCGAATGCGGGGTTCTCAGCGGCTGACATGTTGAACTCGTCACTTGATGAATCCCGTCACTGAAAAGAAGATACTGTGGGAATATCTCAAGAAGAAGTGAGAGTACCTCAGCGTAGGTTTGTTAAGTTCTTTATGTTGCACCGCTGCGAGACACAGCGTGCTGCCGGAAACGGAGGAGCTCGGCCGAGCTTATCAGGATGCGTATCGTTGGCTGTGAACTTGACACCGCAATTTAGGAATGGAAAGAGGCCTTTCAATCGGCGATTGTTTAATGATCAATAGCTATTTCCCCTTCATATCACAACGTTTATGTTTCTGTATCCCGAATTGCTCCTGGGTATGGGCCCTTCGGTCAGTTAAATCGCAGGTGAGCACACGCTGAGGTCAAGAAGGGAAATTGCCTGGTGGGTGACTCGTTGGCCAAACTCATTAATGACAAGATATTTCATCTAGTTTCAGCCGCTAGACTGAGACTAGGCTAACAGTTTACTTCTATTTATCACACTTCAATCCCTTTTCTCTCCATTGCCCGTCCGACGGCGTGAGGACAAACACAAAGCAGTGACGAGGACCTCGCTAGCGTGGTAGCTCCAGTCCCACTAATACCAGAGACTCGGGCGTGCCTTGAACCAAGTGATGAACAGTGCATCCATTGGTAGACCAGGTATCAAGATGCAAATACATGTCTCAAGACGTAGGAGAACGGAGTCATGAAGTGATCGAAGAGTTGAAATAAGAATCTGTTTTATGGTCCATCTAAAATAAGAACCCAATGAATCACAGCATAATCCTGAACCAATGCAACCGCTTACAGACGAAAGATAAATGAAAAGTTATTTAAGACCCAACCAACGTTTGCAACCCAATCTTCCTGAGTAACGCCAAGTCAAACAAGCAGCCCCAAAGCCTCTAATTAGTATCCCGACTTAGCAAGTCTCTCCTTCTCATCAGAGATCATGTCGTAGTCGTCATCTTCTTTGGCCTCGGGCTTCGCTTGGTCCTTGTTGTACTGCGGCTTATCCTCGTCCCTGTACTCGGGCGCCGGTTCGTCTCTGTAGGGGACGTTGGCGTCGTCGACCTGGCGGTCTCGGGCTGAGTAGATGGACGTGGCCACTGACGATCTTCTGTCGGACAGGACGGCCTCGCTCGGGGGAGGGACCATGCCGACCTCGTGGACGACGGTGCGATCGTAGTCGAGGCGGCCCTCGAGGGCCTTGAGGACCTCGAACAGGGGCTTGGCGCCCATGGGCCAAGCGACGTCGCCGCTCAGGATGGTCTTGGCCGTGATGCCGCGCTCGTTGTAGAAGAGGCCGTTTGCGTCGGAGCGGCTGAGGATGATGGTGCCGTCGATCTGGACGCCGGCCCACAGCCCGCGGCTCTTCATGTAGCTCCACATGGGCTTGGCCGTCTTGCTGACAGCCGACTCGACGTGGCCGCCGGTGCCGACGGGGCCCATGGCGATGGAGCCCTCGGCGCCGAGGGACAGGCGGGGGCTGGCGAAGGCGGCGACCTGCTCAGGCGTGTTAAGCACGCACACGCAGTCGTAGACGTCGAGGCCGAACATGAAGCCGGCGCCCAGCGTGGTGACGATGAAGGCCGAGGGCGGCGACCACGTGCCGTCTTCGCGGCGGGCCACGATGACGCCGGAGCCGCCGGCCAGCGAGCTGTGGCAGGCGCCAGCCCGGAGCACGTTGAAGATGGCCAGGCCGGCGCAGTTGCGGAGGACGGCCGGGGGGATCTTGACCATGGCCTTGCGGGTCAGACCGGTGGGGTGCTTGGGGCCGTTGGACTTGGGAGGAGAGGAGGTTTCAAGTTCTAAAAGCATCTCATTAGTACACGGTCAACTTGAACATTCCGAGTCTGGATAGTACGTACGGGTGAAGGAGTGGAGGATCCGAGCCGCCTTGTTGCACTCCTTGTCCATGCCCGTGGGCCACCACCCCTCGGCGCCGATGACGTTGGCAGCCTTGTTGAGCGGCCAGCCGGCCTTGGAGCTGATCTTGTGGAAGCGCTCGCCGATGGTGGGCTTCACGGGCGCGGGCTGCTTCTCCTGCTCAGACATGGGAGGAGCTTCTTGGTACATGGGGCTCTCGGGTTCGGGGGTGTAGACGGGAGGGGTCTGGGTGGCCTGCTTGAGGGGGTCGATGGACTCGATGGAGCGGTTGGAGGCGGAGTAGACGGTCATTTTGGGCGGTGCTGATGATTTGTTTGGTGTTGTGGTGATGCAGTGGGCGTCTAGGTGTTAGATGACTGGATGGCGCCGTGTAGAATCGAAGGCAGATACAAGGAGCAACGAGTTAAATGATGGATCAAGAGACAAAAAAGGTTAATGATTATGCTTAAAGAGGCCTGTTGCAGTGATGCTGTTGCTGATGCTTCTTCTGATGCCCTTCATCCAGATTCGGAGGGCTCCTATCCCGTCTTATATCTTTCCACATCCCGCTAAGACGATGAGAAGTGAGCACATGCAAATAGCCTAAGATGAATAGCTAACAACCACGCATTCGCAATCCTTCCGCGATCCGATGCAGGCAGCCATGATTGAGACAAACCCCCGCGCCGAATCAGCAAGGAGCGGGCGCCACCTCGTCGCGGAGAGGACATCCTGCGGGCCCGGAAGCCCGCTGTCGTCGGTGGTGCAGCGTCTCACAGGCTCACTGTCCAGGTATGCTCCAGGTGCATCAGGCGCCCGTGAAAGGGTTGGCAGGCGCTACGTGTGCAGGCTTCGTGGACCTGCGTGGCGCAGCGGAGAAGTGAGACCTGCGACTCGATCTTTCGCCATAGGGTTGGGTGGGCGAAGGCGCCGAGTTTGGAAAAGGCGCGAGCGCGAAGGGCCGAGGGGCGGGGGCTTATTCGCGGAGGTACCTTGTGGCACCTGAATTACAGTGCAGGAATACGCCTGAAGCGCAGTGGAGGGAAGTCTCGCAGTTGACTCGCGCTGTTCGCCTCCGTCTCGGCCCCTCGGATCCTGCGCCCCGCTGGCATACGAACCAACGACCCAAAGGCAGAACCCTCTTGCGTTGAGCGATATAGTTTGCAACTTGAGTGTTCAATCTCACAACAAAGCAAGCTGCCCGCTTAGCTCAGCGGTAGAGCGTTGGTCTCATATGATTCATATGATTTAGCCCCAGGCTAGAGATATCCAAAGGTCGAGAGTTCGAGACTCCCAGCAGGCATCTATTTTTGCAGTTGCGCATGAAACTGCCTTTTTGTAATTCTTGCTTTCTTTTTTTAATCCCGTCCTTCTTCCTTCTTTCTCCCATATGTCACTTGGATTTGATTGATCTGCTCATGATATCTTCCACGCCCTGGGATTTGTGAACCTGCCACGAGTTGACGCAGCAATTGATCCCTCATATGCCAGGCCCACAATATGCTCTTATGTGATGAGACGGGGGTGTCTGAGGCTCGAATCTCGCTCGCGGCTCGCACTACGTTTGGCTCTACACACAATTCTTCAGTTTGTTGTTGAAGCGATGATTTCTTCTTCTCTTGGACTACGTGGGTTTCTTTATACATTAGGCTCAGTGAAGAAACCCCTTATTCATGGCCGAGGACTAACATCCTTCTTGCGTGGTGAACCTCCGTCTTCTGAGGACCTCCGTGAGAAGACGGAGACCACACAACGCTACGCAATGCATCATCAGCCAGCTCCGTGTTACTTGTCAAAAACGCCAAAGATTGTATTTACCCGATACTAACAAATCCCGCACACTGCTAAACGTGCTCTAGCTTAAACGTGAACCTAGTCTCTTCTGTCTTGACCAGCAGATCCTCCCTCACGCCTGGCCCGCAGGCGGCGCTGCCCAAGCCGGCCACCTTGGCATCGACACGCAAGAATGTGGCGTCGCCCTCGATGAGGTCCGGCGGGTGCGCGGCGGCATGGACGTTGTCGATGCTGTTGCGGCTCGCGACGAAGCTGAACTCGGCTTCGGGGCCGTCGAGCCGGCTAACCCGGACGCCCGTGTCCCGGGACCGCGGGTCCGAGAGGCTCACCCACCGCGTCTCCAGCCGGTTGCCGTTCTCCTGCGGCACGTCGTACGGCACCTGCAGCTCGGCGACGGAGCCGACCTCCCACACGCCGACGCGCTGCGCCGACTTCTTGTCCGGGTAGCTCTCGCCGGGCCCAAGGCCGAGCCAGCGCACCCGGTCGAGGGCCTTGCTCGCGCGTACGTCGAGCCCGATGCGCGGGACGTGGGACGGAAAGGACCCCGTGGGCGTGAGGCGCCGCGCGTCGACGATGAGCGCCCCGACGGCCGTCACTGTGTACGCGATCTCGCAGTCCCAGCCCCATTGCAGCACCGGCGGCGTGACAAAGGTGCGCGCCGTGATGACCGTCTTGTCGGGGCTCGACGAGTCGACGTCGAGCGACCGCAGCTGCGACGTCAGGCCGTCGACGCCGAAGCGCTGCCAGTACGGCAGCGACAGCGGCACGTCGTTGTCCGTCGCCGGCCGCCAGAAGGCCGGTCCGATGGCGACGCCGCGCTCCGGGTCGGCGTCCAGCAGCGTGCGGCCCTTTGCGCGCCAGCTCTTGAGCCCGCCGCGCGCCCGGTCGAAGATGAAGACGAACTCGTCGCCGGCCACCGTCAATGAAGCGCCCTTGGCCGTGACGCGCAGCTTCGACGACGGCGTGTTCAGCGCCGGCGCCTGGGCTGGCTTGGCCGGTGCGGCATGGAGCCGGTGCTGCGTCCAGGCGACCTCGTGGCCGATGCTGGCCCACGACGTCGGGTGCTTGAGCGTTGCCGAGACGGTTAGATAGACCTCACCGTCGCTCTTGTAGTTGAGCGCTGCGGCGGGGATGGCCACGGTGCCCTTTTCTCCGGCCTTTACGGCTGGGAGGTCCAAGGTGCCGACGGCAATGAGGCGTGTGCTGCGACTTGTTAGCTGTGAACGTCCTGGGAAACTCGCAGTGCTACTCACTCATTGCTCAGCTCCTCTATCTTGTAGGTCGCCGCAAGGTGGCTCAGGTCTGAAAAGTCATACGCATTCTCCACGGTAACGACACCCTCCTTCACCTCGAACCTGACGGGCTGAATCACCTTCTTATACTCAGTCAGCCCGGGCGTCGGGTCGTGCTCGCTGTTGACCATGCCGTCCATGACAAACGTCTTGTCGTTGGGCACGTCGCCAAAGTCACCGCCGTACGCATAGTATCCCGCGTCGGCCTTCCACAGCCCGTGGTTGGCCCACTCCCAGATGAAGCCGCCCTGCAGGCGCGGGTGGTCGCGGAAGGCCTGTTCATAGTCCTCCAGCAGGCCCGGCCCGTTGCCCATGGCGTGGGCGTACTCGCACAGGATCACCGGCTTGGAGAACTTGCCGTCGACCACGCCCTCTTCCGTGGCGTGCTTGATCAGCCGCTCGATGGTCGGGTACATGTAGCTGTACATGTCCGTCGTCACCGCCTGCTCGTCGCCCTCGTAGTGGATGAGGCGGCCCGGATCGAAGCCGCGGCCGTACTCGGACATGGCCTTGTGGTTGGCACCGAAGAAGGCTTCGTTGCCGAGACTCCAGACGATGACGCTGGTGTGGTTCTTGTCGCGCTGGACCATGGCCTCCATGCGGTCGACATAGGCGGCTTTCCAGCTGGGGTTGTCCGAGGTGAACTTGGCAGCCTGGGGAAAGGCCAGTTTCTTGCGCTCGCCGTAGTCCATCTCCTCGGGAATGTCGAGCGGTCGAGCGACAGCATCATAAAAGCCGTGGCACTCGAGGTCGGCCTCGTCCATGACCCAGAGGCCCAGCTCGTCGCACAGGTCGAGGATGCGGGCGTCGTTGGGCTGGTGCGAGCAGCGCAGGGCGTTGATGTTGTGCGTCTTCATGAGCAGCAGGTCGCGCCGCGCAAAGTCGAGCGGCACCGCGCGCCCAAACAGCGGGTGGTGCTCGTGCCGGTTGACGCCGCGCAGCCGGATCGGCGTGCCGTTGACCGTCATGAGGCCGTCGCGGAGCTCCACCTTGCGGAAGCCGATGCGCTGCCGGACGCTGTAGCCGGACCCGGACCCGCCCGTCTTGAGCGTCAGCGAGACCCCGTACAGGTGCGGCGTCTCGGCCGTCCACTTCTCCGGGTTGGCGACGTCCAGCTTGAGGTCTACGCGCGTGTCGTTGGCCGAGACGGGCGCCGATGTCGACGCCAGCACCTGGCCGCTGTTGAGTTCCGAGACGGTGAGCTCCAGGTCGCCCTTTTCCTTGGCGATGATGTCCACCGTCGCCAGCAACGTAGCGTTTTCGTACTTTTCATCCAGGTCGGTACGGAGAAACCAGTCCTCGATCCTGGCGTCTGTTGGGAATGCGATGAGGTGCACATCGCGGAAGATACCTGCGTCATGTTAGCCAGCTGCGTCTTGTCCTATGAGCCACGTCCATTCTTACCAGATAGCCACCATTGATCTTGGTCTTCGATATATGTGCCGTCACACCACTGATAGACCCTCACAAAGACCTCATTTGGGCCCTCGCGCGTGACATATCCCGTCACGTCAAACTCGGACGGGTTCCTCGAGCCCTGAGCGTAGCCCACCAGGACGCCGTTGACCCAGACGTGATAGGCGCTGTCGACGCCGTCGAAGCGCAACCTCAGCTGCGAGCCGGCGTCCCAGGCGGCCGGGACATAGAACGTCCTCCGATACGTGCCCGTTGGGTTCTCGGTCGGCACGTCGGGCGGGCACACGGGGATGGGGAACTGCACGTTGGTGTACCACGGCCGGCCGTGGCCCTGGAGCTGCCAGTGGCCCGGCACGTTGAGCTTCTCCCAGGCCACCTCCTCGGCCGGCTCAGGGGCTTCCAGCGGCGTCGACGCCATGTGGAAGTCCCACGAGCCGTTGAGCAGCAGAGACGTCTCTGGGATGTAGTAGGTGCGCGTGGGGAGGCAGTTGCGCCGAAACACGGCCTCGTTGCTGTAGTCCGGCCGGGACACATCCTCCTGCGCCGGGATGCCTCGCTGGTCGACTCTCATCTTGTATTGCATTCACCGATTGGGATACTCTTCCGCATAAAAGTGCAGGTCATTCAAAGACGAAGGCATTCCAGGAACAAGAAGAGGATTACACGTGTGCTTTTAACCTTGATCTCCCCTCCCCCCGCCCAGTGAACCGTTCCACCTTGACAACGCCGAAGACTGCGCCGAAGACTCTCAGGACCAAGAACAAGCCCGTCGTCATGAGGCCAATCTGGTGCCAGATTGCACCCGTGATCGTCACCTGAATGGGCCGACCCCGCCTCCAAGCAGAGAAGTTTCCTTTTGCTGCGCCCGCCGTCCCCGAAGCCGCGGGGTGTGATCCGGGGAGGGATCATGGCTCTGGCTTGCAGAACTGTTGCACGCGAGCCAATGAGACGCCCCGCTGCTCCAGCCATCGTGGTGCGGCCCGGGGAAGACGGAGCCGAGGGCGAGTTTGACTACGGTCGCAGCAGAGTTATGACGGAGCGTTAGCAGCAAACTGGCCAAGCATAGTAGTACATGCCTTGCTGGCTTCTCCTCGGCTTGTTATTAGTTAATCCCCGTGCGACTCTCAAAACTCGGCGTCTTCCCTAGACGGGCAAGCCGAGATTCCCACGGCGGGTGGGGAACAACGGCCCGGACTCCAAAACTCCGCGCTTCGGTCCCTCCAAACCAAACTACTCCATCCCTGGCAAGAGCAAAAATGACGCCCTCCAGAAACACTTCACGACTACAGCGTGTTACACGTGAGATCATCTGGCGATTGTATAGCACTAGAAACGGGACATTCTCAGCCGGGCTCATGTTGTAACTTAGTGACGATTTGTGCTCCAAGATTAGGCAGTGAAAGACATCATCATTGATTGACAGACTCAGAGACAGCACCGAGTGCCTGAGGAATTCTCCAAACAAATGCCCATAGATGCTCTCTTATCAAGAACCTGACGATTTGACATGTGCCAAATGGCTTAGTCCCTAGTACTTGTGTGATTCGAGACCTAAATTCGACAAAGAACTTGGTCTAATTGAGGGCACATTTTATACATCATTTAGCATATTGACTTTGATATGCCATCTAATTAGTACACTAAGTCAGTGGAATTCAGTGTAGAATTTAGCGGAAGGGTTTTTAGTCCTAGTCGCAAACTAAAGTTTCTAATTAGCAATCATTTTTGCGGGTAGAAACCGTTTGCTTCTGTAGCAACACCTGACGACACAAACCTACCTGTGAACTTTCTTACAACATTT